GGTATCGCTGAGACAGGCAGCCTGTTTGAAAACTCGGTCTGTGCAGGGTGCAACTGAATTAATTCCAGCAGTGACCCAGGACCACATTAATTATATCTGGGCCTCAATCGTTGTTGGCTTCAGGCTTAAAAAGACCAACCATTTGTCTTTGAAGTTAAAAGTCTACCTAGGTGCTAATGTCATTGTAGCGTGGAGCACACAGTGCTAAAAGCAAAGACTTGCTGTACACACAACATTTCTGTTGAAACAATGACTTTAATTACAGGGTACCAGGGTGCCACATCCTGACATGTTAATTGAAGTATTTAAGTGCGTATGAAGCAATTCAAAAGGGTCTTTAGCATCTTTGTGACCAAGTCTGTGGCAGCTTTATTACGGAGTGCACTCTACTGAAAGCTAAGTCAGTCCAGGGGAAGCGTTGCTCAGCTGTGTTTCTCTGATCCAGCTCACTGTTTTACTGGCACCTAGAATACTAATTAATTGCCCAGCCTCCCCAATTAGGGACCATTGTCTCTCATCCCAAAGTGGGAAGTTGGCTGTAGACAGCTGTGGCACTCCCCATGCCTGTTGTTTGTGTCAGTACTTCCCTGCTCCTTAGTCTGTAGCTGCGTGTTGAATGAATGTTCCACACTGGGATGACTGTAAAGCCAGCAAGCACCGAGCACGACTCGACGGCTCAATCTGTGCTATGGGTCAAAAACACGGCTAACCTGGGAAGGGAGACAACAGCCACAGGAAACTCTGTAGTACAGGTTGCCCAGTTAGCATCATGTAACATCAGCAGGGCCATCATCTTGTTGGTGAGGTTCATAGGGAACATGTTCTGAACTGCTGCCTTTGAACTTGCTAGGACAGGTGACCCTTTTGTTTTATCAGAATGTGAGTACAAGACGAATTTTAGGATGCATATTTCATTTTGTGCACTGTCTAAAGGGAAAAACTGTACTTAGCAGTGAAGTAGTAACTGAAAGATGTGAAAACACTGCCAGGGCCAAAGGATATCCTGGTTTAACTCCAGCCTGTGTGTTAACTAGTGTTACTGCAGCATCAGTACACCTTGTCCTCCTTTGTTTCAAGACTTGGTGTACCTCAGAAGAAAAAGAAAACCCATAAGGATTTTTTTTAGGTATGGGAATTTTCTAAGTGATTATTTGCTAAATTACAGGGTCAGTCAGTTTACCAACTAGTAACAGTACTGGGAATTCCAAGCCTGAAAATCCAGGCTTATGCTGTGTATTTCTAACTAATTCTTTTTACCCTGTCATTTCTGTTCATGCCACTGGGTTGTTTTTTGTTTCTGTCCTAAACCTGTTTTGGGTCAATGTGGACATTTCTTTTTCATCACCGGTTTCTTTACTGGTGAAAACTGTTTCAAGGACATATTCTTGATTGCTTTGATTTCCCAACCACTGTCTCAGAGCTGTAATCTCATCTCCCAGCTCATGGTCACTGCTTTAACAGGGGGATTCAGAAATACACTGAAACATATCCCCCCAAATTCCTGGATATCTTGGTAACTGCTAACATTGGTGGATGGTCTTGATATCTACATGCTGATTTGATGCCTTGTTACTAAATATATGGGTGGTCTATAGTAGAAATCCTCTAAAATTATCTTTTTTTCTTTTTTGTTCTGTCTTCTAATAAACCAGGTTATGGTATTTCCTGCCAAATAACTTAAAAAGAAGGCAGGTCTACGTTTTCCCAGGGAAAACCAGCCTGCATTAGAACATTTAGTTAGGAGTTGTACTTGTTTGACTAATTTCAATTACATTTGAGATCTCAAAGGTCTTTATGAAATGAAGGGACATTTCAGATGTCAAATTTTGGCTGAGAATCTCATTTTGGGAAGGAGATTTAGGACTTGGCATATTACTACGGGAGCAATTGTGTGTTACATTTTAATATACCCTGAAGAATGATTTTGTAGAATAAAACCTGACCTTTTAATTCTGGTTCTATATAGTCAGGATCAGAAAGGAGATAGTGTGATGTTCCTCTGCTGTGTAAGGTAGATCCATGCCCATGCTGTGTAGGGGTTTGCTGCCTTGTGCTTGTGCTGTATTCCTGCAGTGGGGCTGAGTCTGCAGCACCAAATATGTGGACACCAAGATAACACAGCTCTAGAAACCCCCCAAGGTACCAAATGGTGTTCTACAATAAACAGCATTGTTTCTGCATTAGCTCATGTTCTCTGCAGCATCTTTTGCTTCACACAGGCTGTTTAACTCTGCCACCATGGCCATATGATGTGCTGTGCCCCTGCAAGAGATTATCCGCTGCAGTCCTGTCAATAGATTGTGAATTTGAATTATATCTGCAACGTTTTTGTCAGTAAATACAGCTTTGTGAGTAAAAAAAGTTAATAATGGTTCATGGCTGCTCTACAGGCACACTTCAAATTCTGGTGTTTGTGTAGGCAGTAGAGTGGTCAGCATAGGCCAGAGGAATTACTGCTGTGATTGAAATAGAATGTTTTATGTTGTCAGATATATTAGTGCCAAAGAGTTGCCGAGACAAATCAGGGGAAGGGGTGTCACTAACACTGTTATTTCAGCGTTCAGTTAAAGCTTTGCTCCAGTATTGTACTGTGCACCTATGTGAGACAAGACCATTGATATCATATAGAGCTTATATTGTCTTAAAGCAAGGATCCACTGCCTAGAATGCAGTACCTAAGGGCCAGGGCAGCTACATTTCTGCTAGTCAGAGCAGTTCAGTCTGGATGGTCTTATTTCTACACCTGAACAAGCCAATTGTTTTGCACAGTCATTGAAGTGGGATACCTGGATTGCCAGGGAGTCTGTCACAGAAGGTTGGGACTGAGGTGAAATGATCATTGGCACTGCATGTTCCTGCAGCACTTTTGTAAGTGTAGACAAGCCCACTGTTCTCTGCTGTTCCCTGTCCTTCACTGAACATTCAGCACGTTGTTCATCTGCTCCTGATACCGAGTTGGGTGCATTCTGGCATCAGTATGCATTACATATGAGTGCCTTATGTATGTAAGTATGTTTAAAAGGCAGAGGTCCTCCAAGATCCTGCCTGGAGGGAATGAATCCAACTGACTCAGTACTTGTAAATCACCCTTTTGGTAGGTTATGGAAGGAAGCATTTCAACTTTAATCACTCCTATAAGTTTACCCTTTGTATAAGGGTAGTGCAGTCTGTGGTGTGACAGTAGGTTTCTGCAGTGGAAAAGCAGCCCTGACACACGACCCCTTTATACAGATGATGCAGCTTGTTTGTAGCTACAACTGGTAGTATCTAGATATAAAAATACCACATGAGAGCAAGGTATGAGTGAAAACAAATAGGACTTCCTGCAAAGCTGAGTCAGCCACATTATCACACCTCTCTTGGTGGCTGGGAATGGTCAGGATTTGTCCTGCTGGCCTCCTTTATTTCTTTGCCCAGCCTTTTTGCTGATGCCTCTTCAATTACACACTTAATACTGCAGACAGAGAAATCTGCAGCATCTGTAGTGACCTGCCTTGACTACACAGCGAGTAAAATGCTACTGAGCTTTCCATCGCTTCCACTGCCCATCAGCTCTAAACACAGGAACCACCTCTTTTCCTTCAGGCAACTTATGTCTTGTTGGATGGGCTGGCTTACACAAACAGCCTGAATTTTCTGTTATTCTCAATTCTGTGAGGTAAAAGGGTTTTTTAAAAACTAAGTTTTTTAAAAGAAAATAAAAACTGAACACATTTGTCCAAAGCAGGGGATTGACATTTTCAGTGCTCTGTCCTGTTTATGTCATCTCTGTTTAGACAGCTGTTAATCATAGAATACAAGAGGTTGGAAGGTACCTCTGGAGATTGCCTTGTCCAACTGCTGTTGGAATAGACCATAACATTAGGATCAGCTTTCCTCTTACCCCATTCTCCTCCCTCAAAAGTGAGCCACAGTAGCAAACTCTTCAGTTCTGGCACAACACTTCCATTTCCATTGTACTTATTAACTTTTGTACCCAAAGGATAGATTACAGCTGTACAAAACGACAAAATACCAAGTACCAGCACAAACACAGAGGCACTTTTGTTCCATACTACACCCAGTTTCAGACAGACCCCTCTTCTGTTAGAGGCAGCGGAGCCTGTCGCCAACAAACCTTCACCAAGCTTTACCCTAGTAAAGTTTTTCTGACTTACTTTCCTTTTACCCTAAGCTTGGACAACTGCATGAGGCAGCCCTGAGCCTGGATCCAAGCCCACAGAAGGAGAAAACTTGCATGTTGAGATCCTCACCAGATTGAAAACACAAGAGCAATCACTACAGCTAAGGCTGAGGAGAGGGCTCAGGGGGGGCTGCAAAGTAAGGTGAGGGCTGCTACTAAAACCCTCCTTGAGAAGTCATTAGCTGGTGGTGTTGGAATGTTACATGAATAAACCTCATCACAGGGACAGGGTGAGACTGAGGGGCTCTTAGCCCAGGGCAGTGGGGTCCATCTCCACTGGATTTACTGCTGGCAAGTCATGTCAGCAGCTTCATGTATTAGAAGGGTGCTGGTAAGTGTTAGGTTATATTGCAGGCTGGGAAAGTCTCATAATTCTCTTGGGGAAGCCCTTCTATGACACTGCCATCACTTTGCCTGTAATGATGCTGTGAATGGTTCCAATCCTATGTTCAATAGTTTGCAGCAAAACTGTAAATTCCTGCTGTTGGGTCAATTTCTTGGCATAGACAAGGCTGCTGGAGAACTTCATTCTGAACTCCTCTTTCTAATAGAATTAGTTAATGATTGTTTGATAGGCTGAGGTTTCAAAAGAAGAAAGGAAAAGGAAGGCAAGAACAGGATGAAGGAACCAGAAAGGAATGGTTTCTTGTATCACAGGAAAATCTTGGCAACTCAGGAAATAACTCCTGGTGGAGAATTCTAGACTTCCTAGCTCCTTCCCCCCCCACCTTATTCTGCTTGTGACCTGCAATGTAGATGTGAACTGTTAATCAATGACTTTTCAGGAGGAACTGATCCAGAGAAACTGAAAGAAGAGTTTTGAAGGAAGGGCTTATATAATCATGCAACTTTTACAGCCAGACAACAACAGAGGGCAACAGATCTCTAGGAAACTTTACATCTTCAGTAAGGTTTCCACTGGATGACACTGATGGCAGTTTTGGCAGCTCTTTCCACTGCCTTGCTGGGATCCTTCAGACACTGCTGAAACGTGTCTAAATGGTTGAGGAGCGTCTGGCGGCCCTTTGGTAGCTCAGCCAGCATGGTGAGGGCTTTGATGGCACTCAGCCGGGCTTTGCCACCTTCCTCAGCAGCCAGCTTCAGCAAAGGTGGGATGGCTTCAGCCCCTAGGGCTGAGAATCGCCCTGTAGAGAAATAAGCTGACTTTAAAATGTGTTATTGCATACAACCAACGAGCTTTTGAATTGTTACTTTCTACTCCCTGGCCAGCCACAGCTCTGAACAGCAGCATGCAGTGCAAAGAGGTCGGACATGCTTTCCTTTTGAAGACCAAGGCTAGCTGCCAGCTGTTTAGCTTTAAGAGGAAAGATCTTGGTTAACTTTATCTGCCCTGCATGTTATTATTTCATTGGCAATGAATTATCTAAGAATATACGAGGCACCAGGGGATAAGATAAGGTATTTGGGGTTGGGTTAGATGCCCTTAGGAACATCCTCCATGCCTTCATTTTTAAAGACACTTCAAACAGTGAGATCCACTCCTGTGTTGTCTTCGGAAGCAGGGGGGATGGTTGCAGAGGAGGTCTGGAACACAACTGCTGTTATTAAGAGTCATTTATGTCTAATTACTCATTCATCCCACTGAAAATTTTCAGTGTCATGTAAGTGACTTGGGAGAACTACAGACCTTGTTAATATTCATTCCTCTCCCAGCTGTGGGAGAGAAACTGCCTCTAACTACAGAAAGAGCTTCCAGACAGTAGTGCTCCTCTGCTGAGGACTGGTGATTCTAGTAGCTTCAGGTGTGTGGATCTCTGTGTGGCCTGGACTTGAATGGAAGGTATTCCCCCTCTGGAGGGGAAAGGTTCAGGGGGGTAGGTAAATAACTTCTTGACCTACTTTAGGTGAATGAAATGTGAGATCTACTGTCCCCTCTAGGCTCTGTGGGGGAGCAACAATAGATATAACAACATAGAAAGAAATGATCTAATCTTACGGTTTCTTGAAGAGCTTTAACACCATCAGAAACTGAGAACTTGGGGGTGGAGGGGCAAAAGTTTTGTGACTAAATTGGCTTAGAATTGGGTTTCCAGAAAGTATCCCAAGAGAACTCCCCCCGTCTCTCACCCTGAGGTTTGATAGTAGCAAACATCAGTGCTCCTGTTGCACTGGCTTGGACTTCAGGATCTGCATCTTCAAGCAGGCTCACCAGCACAGGAATAACTTCTTCACACACCTCATTTTTCCCTTCTGGATGAGTACTGTACAGGAAAGATGGTTAAGTTGCTTTCTTGAGCTGTGCCTGCAAACCACAGAGCTAGCTGCAGCTTCTCCCCACGCCTGGATCCCTGCAGCCCTCCTTTGTTTGATGACAGCGGTGCTGACACAGTCCTCCTCTCTGTTCTCTTTGGAGTCACAGCTTTCTGACTGTTGGACAGATGGCAAGCTCCACTGCTTGCCACAAAGAAAAGAAAGGGGATGTCTGTTGTGCCTGGTGTCTGTGAAATCTACTTGCTGATACAAAACTGATGAGATCATGTTAACCGATGTGTGTGGGCTTACCAATTGTTTAGACTATTTTTAGGTGATGTTTGGATTATTTGTTTTTTACCATCTGCCATACGCTGGAGATGGCCGGGCAGCAGCAGGTACCAGTGTTAGGGTTTAATGTGCTATGACAGTTCAGGTAGAAACCTGGCTGTTGAACCCTACACAGATTTTAAAACCTTCTAAGTTTGGGGTCTGCAGTTATTAATGCTCCCAGGTCAATTTTCTCCCTCTCTTTCCAGCCTAATGAGGAAGTATCTGACATGGCCCAGCTCCTGCAGGGACCTGTAGCCTAGCTGATGTCCACACTCAGGTTGCATTTCTGCTTTCTTTCTATTACCCAAGTCATCGATACTCTCTCGCTTTTCCTATAGGGCCTTACCTTGTTACAGGACATTAGGAAGTGTTTTGTGCCAGTTGATAAGTAAGCTACATCACCTGCAGACCTTCTTAAACCAGACATCTACTGAGTACTTTTATTATATGTTGTGATTGCAGGACAGTGGACTGGAATTGTTCCTTCCATCCAGTGTTTGACCCACAAGTGGAATATAAAGACTGCTTTTGCTGATCCATCACTGATGTTTGTAGCAGTCCGTGTCAGAAAACTATTTCTATTCTCAATCAGACTGAAAGCTTCCCAGGATATTTAGTTTTTAGAGAGCAGTTGTTCAAAAAACAAGAGAGCTTCTCCCTACTTTCTACTTCTTCCTGCTCCCTACTCCTGGTCAGAATCTTGTTTTCACATTTCTCATGCAAGATATTTTCTTAGCAGTGCTAAGAAAATAATGAAAAAATCCTGATTTCACTGCCAACACCAAAGACAAACAGAAGGATAAGGAATGGCATTTACTGATCTGCATTTGCTTTCTTGAGTATTTACAGCAGTTACGAATTTTAGAAGTCTTCTATGTATGTGTGTGTTGAGGCTGATACCGCTTTACATGGGAAATGTGACAGCTTCAGTGTGTAGTGGAACGCCACTGTAAACTAATGACCTTGACTCCCTTGTGAAATGAGTATGTTCTTGGGCTCATATGTCATAGGCAGGTTTCTCTACCTGATTTCTAAGAGGACCCAAGCTGCTTTGCTTCTGATGGCCACTGATGAGCATGTGAGCTTTTCCTTCAGGACAGTGACGGCATCAGCTGCTAGAGCTTCAGAAGCCTCCACACGCAGACAGTTGGAGAGTGTACCAAGGATTAGCTCCTGGATTTCCTCCAACTCGTTCTTCAGTTTGGATACAAGTAGGGGAATCAAACCGGCATGCAGTATGCCAACAGCGCCTACGGGAGGAGACAGAGGAGGAACACAGGTGGGCTGTGAGTGCATTTACTATTTCTACTTGCACTTCCAATTTCTTAATAGGCTCAAACTACACATGGTAACTCATTTCCTTCCAATGTGAGAGATGGAAACTACTACAACGCTGCTCTGTTCATAAATGCCATCTCAGCATTGCTTCCTCAGGAAGCTTCCCCAACAGTCCTGGAAAGAAAACAGCCCAGGCAATAACCAAAATGGCAATTGCTCTCCTGTTCCCAGTTTCTCTCATTATAATATTTCTTCCAAAATTGTTCTTGCTATGAAAATATAGGAGAAAAAATATGTATAAAAGTCACCTTAGAGCCAGCCTTTCTAACTGCTCTTGAACAGATGCTGAGAGAGCCTGAGATGTGAGACTTTACAGCTAATAGTTTGATTCTCCACTATGGTTTCTGTGGGGGAGGTCAAGATTTTGGAAGCTGTCAGCTTCCACACACATCTTCGTAGTAATTCTGTCACAGGGAAAATGTAATTTTTGAGCTTTCCAGCAGTCAGTCTCTTGCACTGTCTCCTAAAGGAAAGCACAGTCAAGGCACAAAGATCATTATTTGACCTGCAATGGCTGTCTTTCCTATGAACAAGTGTCTGATCTGTCTGTACCAGTTCAGAAAGTCCCCACTGCATCAGCAATGCCATGGAAAAGCAGAGAGCAGAACGTACTGTCCACAAGTAGCTATGTGAACACAAAATTCTCTGGCTGTCTTGTTGCTAAGACTGATTCTTTGGTTGCTAAGAGAAATGCAGCTGCTTTCAAAGTGATTCATATACGGTTAGATAAGGAAGTTTTGTGGATGGGAGTCATCAAGGTATTTTCAAATGAATCTCCACAGGCAGGGATAAAAGGACAAGTGGGACAGAGGTTTTAATGACCTTTGACAGCGCATGGGAGAACTTGACAGTCAGCTGAAAAACATGATTCTAATCTAGAGGTTATTCTGTGCTACATATTTCTGAGGTTTTGCTGGCATTGAACAGCTTCTTATGTTACTAACTTACTAGGAACCAATTTAATGCAAATGCAAAGAAACACCTTGAGGTGGTATTATTACAGCTTTTACCACCTGTGCTACATTGGAAGGTCAGTTGCTGTGAGGATTCAAATAAATAGTAAGGCAAAACAGAGTCAGACAATTCGCTCTTGAAGGCTAGTGAAATTTAAAACAAAGCTTTCTCCTTGTGCAGAAAGGTAAAGGAAAGTGAAAAACATGTTATCTTTGAGGCTGTGGCTCTGTGCATCACTGCATGGAGGGGTTGGCACTTTCAGTGTAAAAACACCTCAACAAACCAAACCACCAAACCCAACCTTATATTTATATCCCCTGGAGGAATGTGAAGAGAAGAAAATTCCCAAGGATCAGCTCCAGCCCATCCATACTGCTTCTGCAGCAGGATGTGGTAAAGGAAACCTGCACTCTTGGTCTGGCAAAGGACTTTCTCAAGCTGCCTGAGAAGGAGGCAAAGCTTGGACAGCTGACTCCATCCCCAGCAGTATCTCCCTTGACAGGGATTGCAGGTGTTTGGGTTGTAGGTTATAGGCATAAAAGGGTTATGGGGGATTAAACAAGAGTGGTTGGGAATACTTGGTGCCCTACGGAGTCCCAGGCAACAGGGAACCTACTAGTGAACTACTCCCATGGAAGTAATTTAATGAAGTCTTGGAGGACTATAAATCATTCATATCCAGATTGGCTTAGCCACACTTCCCTCTGGTCTTTTGAAATAGCTTATGAAAACCAAGATTTCCCAAAGACAACTTTCCAAACTCCTCCCAGAGTTTTTCGTTAAGATAAACCAAGTAGCCTGTGTGCATGGAACTGGGATACCCAAACTGCTCACACAATCATCATCACACATCAGTACACCTCCAAATGCTGGGTGGCTGTGGAAATCAGTATGAAATCAAAATTTGGGAGGTACAGCTTCAGAAGAAGATTAATGAATTGGAGGTGATAGATTTATAAGCTGACATTCTCTGCAGCAAGCACCTGTTTATTGTACAGTTGCTTTGCCAGGTGATCTGTGATACTTTTGAACAAAGCCCACATCTGGACCACTTGACCTTAAAGTAATTTCATTCTCTCTAGATAAGATAAAACACTGAATGTAAATGTAAATAAAAGTAGCAAAGAACTGAAGTTTAAACTCCACTGTCCCCCAGAGCCATTGTGGAGCTTAATTCATGTTGATACCAATCTTCCTTGGGGTAGTGCCATAAGCATTTCGTCACATCATTTCTTAACCAAGCACTTGTTCTTGCACGGAGTAGTCGGCATTCTGCCCAGAGAAGCCATTGCTTGTCTTAAGTTCCCATTTTTCTGTAACAACTATGGCTAGAGCATTCTGCCCACCTTTCTCATGCTGGCAGATGTTCTGTTTACTTTCCCAGACAGGTATCCATCACTATTTCTTGTACTTGCTTTCAAATACTCAATGGCCATTTTTAAACCCATCTTAATTTCCATTTTTAGTTTCCTTTAATTCCTTCTTTTTCAGGACTTCCTCACGAACTTATTGCAATTCTCTTGATCGCTTCATTTATCAGCATTCAGGTTTCACTTTTGTGTCTCTGTCTTTCACTTCTCTTCTAAAATATCCAACAAATACATTCAGGACAGGACAGCTTTCAGTAGCCCTGCACTTTATTCCTTACTTTGTGTGAAAACTCAGGAAGTTTTCATTTAAAAGAAAAATGTTTTATTTTACCAGGCCAGGTTTCTGTACCAGGAGCTTTCTTATCTATTGTTTTTGTCAGGCTGTCCTATCTGAAATGTTATTGTGCTCCTAAAGGGAGCTTCCCAGTATAAATATAGAAACAAAGATGAATTGTTTGACCTTGTCAAAAGTCTCAATGTGGTGAAGAGAAAGGGTGGAGAGGAAAGGCCACCACCAACAAGAGACTACCTAACACTGAGACTGAAATTTCCAGGTGGAAATTCGTCATGGTTTTCTCAAGGGAACCAAAGGGTGAAAGGTCTAGGAAGGTAAAAGGGAGGAGAAAAAGTCAGTGGAAAGTTGTTTGGGAGACACTTGTAAATTAGAGCAGTCTCAGATCCTTGCATCTTGCTGAGCAAGCAGTAGGAGGGGAAGGGAAGCTGGTGTTCCTATTAGCCCTCTACTGAGAAATGCAGCAGCATCCTCAGGATCTTGAGTTTCCATTCAAATAATGCCCTTCCGAAGGTGGTTTATCTGTTGCAGTGTTCAAGGTACTCTGTGAAGTAGTCGGGAAAAATATAATCAAAAATGCAAATAGTTGCGTTTGCAGCTGCAGTTAACATCATTATTGATCTGGTTTTCTGAGAACTTTTAGGCTTCCCTCCGGCTGCCTTTTATCTGAGCACTCATCTCTTCCTTCTCACAAGCCTCTGGCCACTCTCCTCCTCCCTTTTCTGACTCCTTTTTCAGACAGGCCCAAGAATCGCCGTGATTCCGTTCTCTCAGTATGGCTGCAGGGCATGTAAACAAATGGAATTTTGGAGAAGACAAAGGCATCATTTCTAGTACATAACAGCGGGGGATTGTTTTGCTTTTCAATTACATAAATCAATTAAATCACGTTACAAATCCTTTTCTTTACAAATGTCAGCTTTCAACTCAAAGCCATTTAAATGTTTGTTTTGGTAGGAAGCATGTGGCCACAAAATGATGTACCACTTAGGGTAACAGTAAAATAATACATAAATATGGATTCTATAGAATATTAATGTGTTGTTGACACTTCAGATGTCTCTGTGGTGTTCACACAATGATTTGAAATGCTTAATATGAGCATTTCTAATTGGGAAGGGGGAGACAGGGGAAAGAAAAGCAGAGCCAGACGCAATTGGAAGAGAAAATGCTGCTCAGCATCTTGGTGTACACCAACACATCCAGTACAATGGCTGTGAAATCGCCAGAGTGGGGGCTCACTGACTGTGAGCTCTCAGATGATCCTGACACAAGTTCCAGACCTGGCAGCTCTCTTGCTGGTACTCCAAGACACTAACACCATTTTACAGGTAATGAAGGGTTTATTAAACTAGTGAGTGCTAGCAGACACCATACAGAGTAAAAATGCAGTGCTTGTATAACATTTCCTTTCCAAGTGAGAAGATGACCATGGAAGGTCCTTCCCCAGCACACCTCCCATAGTATCTCCTGCTCACTACTGCTCTCATTGAAAAACAGGCATTCAAAATAATTATTCTTTAGCATCACTGAGAAGATTTCTGAGTCACCAGTCACAAGAGCACAGTCTGAAAACCCTATAGTAGCTTAGAGTCAGCATTCTGAGTCTCAGTGCTTCCAGCATTAAGGCTGTGTAGGGAGTAATTAAGGCTGTGTATTAAGGGAGTAGGTTAAATATAATAATAGCATAAAACTGGGCTGAAATTTCTCTCTGGTAAGTTTAGAGCAGGAGCTAGGCCACATTAAATTACATAAAACTCACCTGCCTGTACCCCATGAGCTTTACCAAGTCTTCTAACTGAAAATTCATTGACATCTTTGAAATCCAGAATATTTTCCTCTTCTTTGCAACAACAACCCTCTGCCTTTCAATATATAATTTAACAGGAATAAACAATAATGTCCCAAATGATGCCTATGCCTAGAAACAAAGAGTATCTCTTCTTTTACAGCACTCAGAGGTGGGAAGTCCCTTTTTAAATGAACTGAAGTGCTATTAGGATGTTAAGAGAATTGAGAAAAACACTGTAGATATTGGTATTGGATTAGAAATAGTAAACAATTCTATTTCAAACCATTTCAAATCTGTGCATTGGCTGAATGCATTTATCTTATGACAGCCCTGGGGATTTACCAGGTATAAATCACAGCCTCAATAGTAGTGTCTGTCATATCCCCACTAAAATACAATAGCTATAAACTTTATAAAAGCATGATGGGTTCTGCTTTTCCAATACTAAGGATTTTGGGGTGTTATCTGAATGGGAGACACAGCAGAAATTAAGGTTATGAGAAT